TGTACGTTAGAATGTTTAATGTATTTGTGGGACTTAAAAGTTTTTTAATCTATGAACTAAATTAGTCAATGTTAATGAGTTTATCAATCCTTGAATTAAAACTGGAAATGGTAGTGTTGCTACTTACGTTCGTACATTTTTAATTTATAGTAAAGTAGAGCAGATGCGAAATCGATCTAAGTGGCATGCAATACAAGAGACTTATGTCCAGCAGTGGACTGCTGATGATGATGATGATGATGAGGGCAAACGGTCAACGGGTCACCTGATGATAAATAACTATCACTGTCACTATCAATCTCAATAATCACAGGTGCGTTACCATTTTTTGACTTCCCCGACAGGGGGAGGGAGGGTTTGTGCTCCGGTAACCTAAGTCACTTGGTGAAAAGCCACAAAATAATTGCTTAGCACCGGGTTCAATACCCTTTTAAGTATCTGACATTTCAACCAGAAGGCCAATTTATTCTCGTAATGAAAGTTCAGTCTCAATTCACTTTCGATCTCACAACTGTAATAAAAGGTATATTCGTAGTAAACTATTAAACGTCCAACGTTGACTGTAATGTGATTATATCGTATTGTAACTGAAAATAGAATCGGTAATCTGCTAGACTTAGTAATACTTTAGTATTTTACTACGAAAATACCTTTTATGACAGTTGTGAGACGGAACTTTTATTACTAGAATTGGGCTTCAGGTTGCACTGTCTCCCACACGGGGGGGGGGGGGGGGGGTCGTCTACTCGTCTGTAGATGACCCGAGGTATGTCGGGGCACCAGGGACTTCCTTTCTAGGGTATACCTGGTTCCCGGCTATTAGTACCCGAGACGGCGTGCGGTTTTAGTCGGTTCGAGTCCGACATGCCACCGACAGGTGGTATCCGAGGGGATTTCCGAACGGAAAAAAAAAAAAAAAGGTTGCACTGTCTGTAGTCAAAAGACTGACTCTGAATAAGTTTGATTGTGTTAATTCTCGAATTAGTAATTATATAGTTGTGGAATTGCTGTCTAACCCATACGTAAAGATAAAAATGATCTAATGTTTATGTCTCGTTTACATAATGATATGTGAAAAAAAAAAGAAAACCCTTTATTTGAAAATATACTTCAGTTACAGAATAAGCCTCGTATGTTTTAAGAATAATATCCGTGAAAGGCAGAGATATGCTATATTCAAAATAAAGTTGTTTCTGTATCGACTTCTAAGAAATTTTGTATTTTTCCCGCAATCCTGTTAAAATAATTTGTTAAGATTGTTGAAAAAATAACGGGAACCTTGCTCTACTCATCGCTAGATGTCGCTGCGTAAACACAGAATATTCTACATGGAATAGTTGATTAATAATTCATGTGGTCTTGGTCGCGTCGCCTTGAGACAACACACCTTAGGTAACAATTTGCCTAAGGAAGTGCTGAGGCTTGGTTAGATATTGCATAGTATAAATAAATAAGTATTTAAAGGGTTTTGTATAAATATGATATGTTATATATCTTAGATGTAAATCTAGAACGCTCAAAAGATCATAGGTATATCTTTAACTAGCCGTGGTGTTACCTGCGGTTTATCAGATTATGTATTATTTAACCGAAAGTATATATAAATTCCTTGCTCATCCCCAACACTCCATTTTTCGGTAAAAAGTAGCCAATGTAATTTTGACAATTTTTTCCAAAATTGGTACAGCTCTTTAAACGTGACGTAGTAACAAACATATAAACACACTCACAAAGTTTCGCCCAAATATCAGCATGATAAAACCGTGGGATAATGTCGTCACGTCACGGTATCGACTCATGTAATTTAGATTCTCTCACAAGAATGTTATTACTGTGATCAAAACGATTTCAAAAGGCGTTCCGATTCGAATTAGAACCGGTCAAGTAGGAAATGTACTCTAAGCTACTGATGACATCTGCTAAGCAAAATTAGCAGCCTTGTGTTGTATCGCTGAGGTCATCATAGCTTACAAGTGACTTTACAGTGTATATGATGATGATGATGATGATGATGAAGCAGTAAATATAAGTTTTAGTTTTATTTTTAAACGACTTCATTTTCTTTATTATTGTTATATTATTATTTCTATAGCCACAAAACAGATGTAATAGAAGATCCTATCCATGGGGAGACGGATTAAGAATACGTAGTTTCACCACACCTATTCATCCCATGGGTGTCGTAAGAACCAACTAAAGGAGCAAACTATGCAGGAAAACAGCACTGCAAAGAGAAGGAAAACTTGACAGAAACCCTATACAAGTCTAGTCATCGTGGTATATTAGGACAAAACCTCCTTTCAAATGAGAGGCCTATGTCCAGCAGTGGACTGTTAAAGGCTGTTGATGTGATGTGATGTATCTCATTAGTAATACATGTGACGATAAAAGTTCTAACACTTTCCCCTTTCCCCAAGAAATAACACATTTACTTGATTAAGTGCTTATTAACGATGTACAATAGAGTTAAATTTATCTTGGATTTTGTTAGCACGCCATAAAAAACTAATAATATGTTCTGATAACCTAAATGTCTATTACTGAACAAGTAAATATGTTTGTTGCTCAGCGGGAGAGCGCCATCTAATTTGACGGACTCCTTTCTATCAAAAGAAAATATCATCTTAGCGGGAGGTTTACTTATTTGTCCTCATTGCTGTTTTTTATGAGACACAAAAATAAATAGGTATATACGAACAACAGTAAGATTGTAAATATTAACCTTTATATTAGACTTGCAACGAATATTCGGTTACTATTCGGTATTCGGCCTATTCGGCTGCTTTTATTATATTCGGCCGAATACCGAATATCTACATATTATTCGGCCGAATACCGAATACTTAAATAATATATTTTGAATTGAGAAATAATTGGTAAAATGAAAAATTAAAATCGATTGATTACGTATATATTCATATTTTCATTTCTGTTATAATCATTTAAGTAGTCATTGGTGCATAACACAGGTACATAATCATCTTCTGAATTGGAAAAATGGAGGATTCTATGTATTTGAATTATTGTGGTAATCAAAATTTAGAAGGGCAAGGTTCTCATTTCTTTTATAATCATTTATTAAGTAGTCATTGGTACATGAAACAGGTACATAATTTAATTCACGTCTGTACAAGTTTTTGGCGCTAAAATCCAGCCGAATACTTTTGCCTAATATTCGGCTATTCGGTCAGGGGCCTCGCCGAATATTCGGTATTCGGTATACTGCCGAATATACTATTCGTTGCAAGTCTACTTTATATATAATTTTGCCGTGCGTGTGTTTGTAACCTAACTCCTCATAAACGTCTGGAACGATTTGGGTGAAATTTTGTGTGTTTATTTCATGGGTTCTTGGGTGGTTTGGAAACACAATTGGATCCGGTGGCGCTGCTGTCGGTAAGTCAGCAAATTTGTCATTTATTAATTCTAAGGCTGTACCAAGTTCGCTGGGTCAGCTAGTGTATATGTAAATGTTAAATTGGTTTATGTTTGCTTCAAGAACTCGAAAAGTACTGTACCTACTAAGCTCAAATTTGGACACGATTCAAAGTTTGTTTTTAACTATTTTCGCATCAGTTTTATTCCATATTTCTCATGAATCCAACTACAATGTGACACAGCAATATATATACACCGATCGATTTCAAATTTTGACACTATAGACAACCCGTTTCAAAGATGCTTTTTGTCTATTTTTCGTGTCAGTTTTGTTTCTCATTCCTCACCGCAACTGGTTACAGCTAGTAAGTTATATAATACCATTGATTTATATATTTTATGACAGTATTTTTATTCTTACTATTATTAGTTTCATAGATAGTAAACCGCTGTAATAATAAGAACTTAGAGGGCTCAGACATCCCGGCATCAGCCATTTTGAGTGACAAGTTTGCGGCCCTGAGCAATGACTCGTGATATATGAGATTATTAGTTTGTTTCCTACACGTACGAGTATATCAGATCAGTTCTGTATGAAATTTTGGACAAGACGTTTTTTATGGTTCAGGGGGCAGCCAGGGGGACACCTATTTCTACACCTACATGGGTTATAAGTTGCCGTTCTTAGAGTTACTCCCTCCAAGGATCAGGGGTTTTTGGGCTCCGGTAACCTCACTCACGCGACGAAAAGAAAAAACTACTTAACACCGGTTTTTTGTGAGGTCGTGATATGACTCTGGTCGAACCGGCCCATTTGTACTCTTCCACGACAAACGTAATCTTTTCTTCAAAAAAGTACTAATTCTGAGCAATATCACAGGTAAATAAACTCTTGAATATATTTGTAAAGACAGCCATTATGCTAACGGTAGAACACTGTGAAGGAGGAACATATATGTGTATACGAAGGCTAAACGTTTCAATAGAGCTTGCGTGTTTGTGCATGTCGGGAGCGTGGACAATCCCCTAAGCTGGTTTTGTGCCGAGTCAAAAGCCCTTGGTATTGAAGAAAGAAAGTATTTAGGTATTTTGGAGTATTTTCCAGTATTTTTATACGCTATGGTACAGATAAACTGGAGGAATTTTTGTTTTTAATGACGTTCAGTTTGTGCCATTAAATTGAGGTCAGTTTTAGCTTAGATTAGAAGTTTTTTAACTCTTTGAGTTTTACTATGGTAAACATGGGTTCTAGGACTTTTGAGACTAAGTCGACTAAGACGGCTAGTGTCGGTCTGTAATAAGGAGCTTGACTGGAGACCACGTCTCGGCAAACGTAGTGTATAACACCCACAGGCCAGGTGGAGTGACGAGTTGCGCAAGATGGCTGGCAGGAGCTGGATGCGAGAAGTCCAAAATCGATCTAAGTGGCGTGCAATGGGAAAGACCTATGTCCAGCAGCGGACTGCGATATTCTGATAAGTAGCTAGCAGAAGGTTATTTAAATCTTGATAAAGTTGGCAATAGTCTTTATAAAGGTCACTTATGCACCTATGTTTTTAGCGGTATTTTAGTGCAAAAAAATATTTAAACTGCAAAATATATAATAAAGTATATCTACTTACATAAAACACTTAGTTGTACAGTGCTTCTCATAGGGTTGTCTCTCTGTAGAGCTTCGTGTCTCGCTTCGCAAGTAAAATCGGCGTAGTCATCGTCGGCTGTCGCTTTAAAGTGAACCCTGTTGAAAAAGACACAAAGTTAATTATTACGTGTTAAGAGACATGTTGGCTGACCTGTTAGCCTAGTGGTTAGTGGTCCTGACTGCTACGCCAGAGGTCGTGGGTTCGATTCCCACCCAGAAAAATATTGATGTGATGAACTCGATCATTTGTTCTGTGTCTGGGTGTAATTTATCTTTGGTATGTATGTATTTAGAAATATATAAGTATGTTTATCAGCAGTCTGGTAACCATATTACAGGCTCTGCCTAGTTTGAGATCAGACGGCCTTGTGTGAGATGTATGCGGCTATTATACATTTGACAGTTGAAATTAAGTATTCGTTGTGAAGAAATTCTTCAGTGATAAATCGTATTAGTCAACAGGGAGATGTTTAGAAGGAGATATCCTGCATAGATCTTAAGATAGGATCCCTCATAGTGGCTATTTTGATACACAAAGCTGTTCAAAGCATATTATCCGTCTTCTAATAAGTAAATACCGGTGTCGATAAATATTTGCATTCAATTATTAACATGCAAGTGTGGTTTGTTTTGCATACCCTAGAAATACGATTTGACGGCCCTACTAACCGATCTAGGAGTAGAATATTGTGGAAGTAGAAACTGTAATGGGTGCATGTATTTTTCAAATATAAACTGTCATAAAACATGCTTGACAACCCTATCTTATAAACCGACAGCTTTTTAGGAGGTAACCAAAGCTTGTTAGGGTTATACCCGAGTCCCTTGAAATTCAATTCACAAAGTCACAACCCTGATAAAGTGATGACCTGAGGAGGCTTACACATGCTCAAAATAAACCGACTAATATTCCCGGTTTGCTCATATTCCTATCTAGGTTGAACAGGTTTGAGCAAGCTGTATCTCGTTTCGTTTAGGAGTGACTTTTTACTATGAAAATATTGCACGGACCTCAATAGGATGAGTGGTCACTCTAAATTTGAATTGCAACTACTAAGCTATTAAAAAAGCTATATTTTTGGACATCTGACACAACACACAACGCCATCTAGTTTCAAACTAAGCAGAGCTTATACTATGAAAGCTAGACTGATAGAATACTTCCATACTTTGTTTTGTAAAAACATACAAATTATACATAGAAAACACCTAAATTATGAATCAAATATTTGCAGATCATACAAACATTTGGTCCGAGTCGAATCGAGCACAGCAGTCGAATACGCTACCACTGCACCACCGAAGCAGTCGAAAAATAAAAGATTAAATGGTCAGAACCAGAAACCTTGCCACATATTTATTTACCGTGTAATTAATGACTAAAAGTATACTTATTACTGTATAGACTTTAAATCCAATGAGGGGTCCAGTTGTAGTGCATAAAGAACCAGCTCTACTGTAAAGATACCACTCTCTCAACAATAAATCGATATTTGCTGTAATTATTGCGCTGGTAATCACTCAGTGAGTGGTTACCAACGCAAACCCGCCACTCTCAATTCTGGTGGGTACCCCTTTTTTTATCCGTGCGGAAATCCCCTCGGATACCACCTCGGTGGTATGTCGGACTCGAACCGACTAAAACCGCACGCCGTCTCGGGTACTAATAGCCGGGGACCCCCCCCCCCCCCCAGGACCATAAAAGGCGATAACCTACCAGGTGCCTCCTCCATAGCCTCCATAGCCTCCTCTACGCCCTAGAGCATAAAAACTGTTTTTTAAATAAGAAATTTCATTTTATTATCCTTAAATAGTTAATAGAATTTGAGTTTCCTAATCTAAAACAGAATAAATTCATCAAAAACGTAATGTACTTATATGTTAAATTAACTTGTCATAAGAGCTTAAACGCTTGAAATACGCACCATAAAAGCCACATGTATCCCTGTGTCTGCGTTTGTGAGTAAACGATGTACGCCAGATGTTGGTAAGGATCCCATGGTATGAAATAATATATCCTTATGGCTGAGTAAAAGTATGGCTGAGTATATTTAATAAACTTTTTTGTTGTCTCGTAAAACATCATTTAATTGGACTTTTTAAGAAAAGAAGAGAAAAAAAAAGAAGACTGCACGGATAGCTTAGTGATTTGGGCGGTCGCCACGCCGCTTAATGCTGCGCTGAGTGTTGAGGGTTCGATCCCCGCATGGGACGACACTTTGTGTGATCCTCAAGTTGTTGCTCTGAGTCTGGGTGTTCTTTGTATCCGTTTCACGTATGGTTGTAAAACCCACGCGACACAAGATATGTTGCTAATATGGGAGTTGTCTTTTTAAATAATTATTTTGATATGGATTTTTCTACGTAACATTTTTTGAGATATAGGAGAAACAAACACACGGGTCACTGTAAGGGCCAAATACAACTTTATTTTACATAAATTTTCAGTGCGGACCAATTGCAGCGTCGAACACGGTCACCGTGAGGATCAAGTAGATGTGAAGTAAACTCCTCTGATAGTAAGTGGCTACCGCCGCCCATAAACAAGTCACAAGTGCGTGCGTGCCCCCCGCTAGAATTAGTATAAGAGGAGGGGTTAAAGTATCAATGCTTGTAATTAGGCTTTCTATATGTGTTAACATTTACCTTTTTTTTTCTGTGCGGAAATCGCGAAATTTTGGATATGATTTTGGACTCGAACCGACCAAAAACCGTTCGCCGTCTCGGGTACCAGTTGCCGGGGAACCAGGTGTACCCTAGGAAGGTGGAGCGCTGTGTCCACGGTCCAGCCATCGCAGTGGTGGCACTCAGGCGTTGGCTCCTTGCGGATCAGACACAGGTGATCTCCAAAGCATAATTTCCCGGTGATCACCTTCGTCAACCGGTACAACAGGGTTCCGTGATGCCTCTCGAGCCAATCCTCAATAACATTTACCCTGAGTTACGCTCGCATAACCATCAGATAACCTGTCTGCTCATTTGCCCCCTGAACCATTAAAAAAAATAAAGGGGGAGAGGGTTATTTGTGAAATTAACAAAGTATGTAAAGTAGTAATCAGTACAAACACATAAAAACTGTATCAAAAAGAAATGACAATATTTATAAAAGATAATTTCTCCGCAGAATGCTTATCTCCAACAACCAAACCCCAGTTCGAAGGACAAAACATAAAGAAAAAATATATGCAAAAATAATATATTATTTATGAATACTGAAGCGAGAATATATACAACACGTTATGTTAGTACGTGACTGCGAACGTACCACTGATCCGGTACAGATTCGTAATGTAACACACTTTGTATGTATATTTATAAGATATGTCTAGAAAAACTACTGCCGAGTTAGATTTTCGAGCAAAAATCGATACACTGAGTTTTCGCTAACATTTTTTGATATCATGTCAACATAACAGTGAAATGGATTTCGTAAGTTGCTTTCTTTTTGATCCAAAATCTGGAAAAGGCTCAAAACAAAACTTACTTTAACATATCGACGGTTTAATTAATTTAGTAGATGGCGTAGGTATATTTATCGATGCAAAAAATCAAATTCGAATAATTTGATTTTTATGGTATATAAACCTCATTTTACATATTCTCGACGCTTAGCAAGGATTGCAATTTCAAGCGTTGAAATGTTCAGCAACTGACGGCTACGGATAAGGCGACAATGATTTTGCTAATAGAAAAAAAGTATATTTAATAATAACCTTGAGAATATCTCACATGTATGGCGGCCAACAAAAAAACAAACTTCGCAGAACAACAGCACTGCAAAGAGAAGGCAAACTTGAAACAAACCCTATACCAACCCGTCTGGCTAGCGTGGTATAGTAGGCCAAAACCTCATTTCTATGGAGAGGCCTATGTCCAGCAGTGGACATTAAAAACTTTTGATGATGATGATGCTGATAACCGCCACCAGATTGCTGATGATTTTGTGTGTTTCGTGATTACATAACGTGTATTATATAAAATTAAAACGAAAACTAGGCAAAACCCTTTTGCAACGTTACACGTAACGCTTATCTTAAAGATAAAATGCGATCATATTATCAAATTCCCAGTAAACCATTATTTGAATTCCTATAAAATCAACAATAAACTCGATAAAACCAAACCATCAACTCAAAGTCCGTTCTTAAACGCGGTCACCGATTCTAAACAGAAATAATCCGTAAAACATCAAGCTATTGTGGCCACACATTTAATTTCAATGGGAGGCGTCCCGTAATTCCCCGCTGTCACGTGACATTCCGTATCCAGTTTAATCCGGTTATATCAGCTAAAATCTGCAATAATGTGGAATTTGTTCTGTCGCAAACTTTGTACTACTCTCGTTTAATGTACTCCTATGTAGTGCACATTTAACGGAGCCAACTTTATATACAATGTTGGCTTCCAATTTCAAACATGTTGGTAATTTATTCCTTACACATTGTGTGATTTAAGTGTGTGGGTAGTTTCATATACTTTATACAATGTGTTTTAAATTTGTGGGTAGATATATATTCCTTTCCTTCCTCAATTATTAAATTATTGTTACTCTTTGTGATATCTTCAAGACAATTTAAAATCGCATGATGCCTATGGGATCATTTGTGTCTTTGATCATCACTCGATTGTATTCGATTAAAGTTGAAGTGCTTCTGGCACGTCAAAAAAGATAGTACGATATGATATTCAAAATAATGAGGACCTAAGTAGTGGTAGTAATGATAAATTTTAAAAGGAGTCTTTATATGTTTCTATTTCTGTGCACAGGTCAGTACACAAAGTCAAACAAAGCGAAATAATAGCGTCTCAGTCCGGTATGACGTTCCCGACCACAAAGCAATCATGGCTCAAACGTTTCTGTTGTTTGACTAGGATTTAACTTCCTGAGGTTGTATTTGCAAGACTATGGTTGTGTTTCTAACTACTAGCTAAAAGATACAATTAAATCTCGACTTTATCAGTAATAGCGATTTTGTCCGATCTTGTGTATGTGTAATCGAGATGTGTTGTCATTTACCTTATTTTTTTACTTTTCTTTGTAATGTGTCACCGACTTTCTCTCCAAATAATATAATATATCTCACACATCTCACACA